TCCGCTCCCTCCCGTCGCACCCTCACCTGCCTCCTCGCACCCTCACCTGCCTCCTCGCACCCTCACCTGCCTCCTCGCACCCTCACCTGCCTCCTCGCACCCTCACCTGCCTCCCCGCCCCCGGCCACCCGGCTGCCCCTTCCTTTCCGTCTCCCTCTCATTACCCGTCCCGCCCCCTCCGCCCCGCTCCCCGCATCTCTGGGTCACCTTGCACACTCTCCTCCCTTTCTGCCTGCCCGCCCTCGCCGACTTCTCCCCCTTTGGGCGCTTTCTCTCTCCTCCACTTCTCGCAGACCCCTCCACCTTCCTCGGATCTAGACACTCCCGGGAGGTCCCCAGGCTGACTTGGGAAGAGGGGGATCTGGGTCCCGGCCTGGCTTGCTGAGTGCTGTGTGGACTTGGGCCAGGCGCTGCCCCTCTCTGGTTTGAGTCTCCAGTCGGTACTAGGAAGGAATTGCTTTCATTTGGAAACTTGTCTGACCCAAGACATTCTGCTGAGAGTAGAGTCCTCTGCAGTAACCTAGCTGGGTTTTTTTTTTTTTCTTTTGATGTAAAAATAATCATCTTCAAAAATGTTTTAAAATACAAAGTGTACAAAGTAAAAAGCGAAAGCCAATCTCACTCACTTCTCATTGATCATCGGTCTGCTCTGTGCCTGACGGTGCGAAAAAAGACAGGATTCCTGCCTTCACGGAACCCGGGTGGGGCAGACACAGACCAAGTAAATACACAAGCTTTCAGGTAGTGATGAGTGTTATAAAGGCAATAAAATCAGAACGGCGCCATGAGCAGTGCCAGGGCCTCTCTGGATGAAGTTAGGGGAGGGGCAAAGATCTGAACAGCCAGGTGAAGATTAAGGGACGGGTACTGAAGGTGAGCCATTGGCAAAAGCAAATTGAGCAAGGGCAGTGGCCCCTGGAGGTGGGGAGACCAGGAGGACCTCCGGCCCCCCACGCACTCCCCAGGGGTTGTGGCAGTGGGGCTTTGGGTCATTATGCTATTTTCCTAGGAGCACACAAACATGCATATATTTTCTTCCTTCTTCCCCTCCCCCTCCCTTCTTTTTAAACAAATCTTCCTCCTATATTCTAAGACTGGCCTGTTCATTTCATTCAGAACCACCTCCTCCTCATTGGACCCAGGCCCGGGAGAAAATACAAAGTGCGGCGTCACAGACCTAGGCCAGCAAGGGAGAGCTTGATTCCAAAATTCATTACAAGCAGGATTCCTACAAGTGGGAGTGGAAAGGGTGAGTGGGAGGTAAGAGGTCCAGCTGTGATTCACAGAAGCCCAGAAGGTTTGAGGTGGTTCAGGTTCCAGGGTCACCTAAAACCCAGCTCCTCAGGTTCTGGTCCCAGCTCTGCCACCTGGCTCTCTGTGAACCCTTCACTGAATTCTTTTCCTCTCTGGGCCTCAGTCTCCAATCTGCAAAATGGGGAGATTGAACAAAATAACTTCCAGCTGAAGTCCAGGCCAGCTTCTAAGTTAATTTCCAAGGTAATTAACTTTGTCGGCGGGACCTGAGTTCCTCCATGTACAAATAGAGCATGCTTACATCAAGATTAAGTGAGAGCACATGAAAAAGCTCTTTGAGAAGTAGATGAGTCTTTTTTTAAAAAAGATTTTATTTATTTACTTGAGAAAGACAGCAGACAGAGGGAGAGGGAGAAGCAGACCCCTGCTGAGCAGGGAGCCAGCCTCGGGGCTGGATCCCAGGACCCCGGGATCAGGACCTGAGCTGAAGGCAGACGCTTAACTGGCTGAGCCACCCAGGTACCCCAGATGATTCTTTAAAAAAAAATTTTAGGGGCACCTGGCTGGCTCAGTCAGTAGAGCATGGGACTCTTGATCTCGGGGTCGCGACTTTGAGCCCCACATTGAGCATAGGGATTACTTAAAAAATAGTAATAAAAAAATGTTTTGAGTATAGCTGACACACAGTTACATTAGTTTCAGGTGTACGACATAGTGATTCAACCTCTGCAGACACTCTGCTCACAAGCGTAGCTACCGTCGGTCACCGCCCAACAGTATATACAGCATTGACGTATTCTCCGCGCTGTCACTTTCATCCCTGTGACTTACTCCACACCTGGAAGCCTGCATCTCCCACTCCCCTGCACCTGTGTTGCCCATCCGTCCACCCCCTGGAAGATGATTCTTTTCACATAGTTGAGTCTCCTGAGAGGTTAAGGGCTTTGTTTGGTCCCATAACTATTTCAACCCCAGGCACCTGTTGCACACGGCGGGCAAGTCCATTATAATCTACGTGAGTGTGCCCTCTGGAGGTGTGGCCCTGATTTGACTGTTTGCCCTTTAGGTTCTGTCTCTTCGAATAACTTTTCAGCAGAGATTTAAAAAAAAAAAAAGCCTTGAGTGTCACAGGAAAGCCAATGACAGGTCCCCACTATTCGGAAAACAAACTTCTTTTTGATTTGCCAGTTCAAAAATGGGTACACTTGGGGCCAGGTCAGGATTCCTCCTTTCCTAGTTGGGAAATTGGTAGTAAAGTGGCTGGTTAAAATGCCTGTTTGTTGGGACCCTCAACCGTATGCCCACTGAGGTTGTAGTGAAAAATTGGTGGAACTTAACAGCTATTTGTTGTGGCTTCGGGAAGGTCCTACAAGAAACAGACGAGCTACCATATAAGCAGGCACATCGGAGGGAAATAAAGTCAAGACTCCCTGAGAGGCCCTGCATGCCCACCAGTTGTCTGCAATGCTTGGAAGTCTGAGGCCATGCCTTGCCAATCGTGGAAGCTGCGTTCTCTCTGCACCAGGATAAAATTACCACTAGTGAGAGGAGAGCATGCAGCAGGAGACGGGCCGTGGCCTGCCTGGCCATTCTCTGTACACAAAACATAGCTGCGCTGGAGCAGATACTGAGCGGGCACCTCCGGTGACAAATTGACTCCAGAGGGCGCCACTTCACACAGGCCACCATGCCTGAGGCAATGCAGCCCTTGGCCTGCCCCATTGTAATAGCATCATGTTCGATCCCGAATTTGGCTACTGTTTACTGGGAGATGGTGTGGCACAGTGGTCCAGGGTAGAGGCCTTGGTGTTGAACTATGTGGGTTCCAATCCTGTCTCTGATGGTTCAGGGACAGGGTTCTAGACCCAGTTCTGCCACAAACTAGTAGAACGGCCTTAGGTGAGTCGTAAGCTCTCTAGATACTCCCTCATTGCAAACCCAAGCTAAATTTAGGACTCCCGCTCGACCCTTCCTTCTAAGCTTTCCCATCCTAGTCAATGTCCCACCAGCCACCAAGAGCTCAAGCCACGTTCATCCTTCCCAGCTAATCTACCTCCTCCAACCCCACTGTCACCACTCCAGTCCAGGTTACACATTTTCCCATCTGCACTTTGCCAGTGCTCTCAAATGTTTTCATAAAATGCAAAATCAGAGCGAGTCGTACGCTGCTTAAAATCCTTCAAATGGCTTTCCTTTCTCTTGCAATAAAGTCTGGGAAGACTCCCCATCTTCCATAAACATGGCTTTTGAGCCCTGCACGGTTTGGGCCTGGTCTCTCTCCCTTTCCAGTTCAGGCCATCTCTTCTTTCGTCCTCCACTCTGCTCCAGCCACACCTGCTTTGTGTTCTAGCTCATTCTAGAGGCAGAGTTCCCTCTGCCAGGAATGCTCTTTGCTTGGCTGCTCATCCCTCCGGTCTAGGCTTAAACGTCAGCCTCTCACGGAAGCGTTTTCTGATCCTTCAAACCCGGTCAGGTCCTGGTGGCCTCCCTCATAGCACCTGTCACAACATCCCTGGAGACACATCTGCCTCCTAGTTCTCCTTAGTCCACTTAACGTTTACTTCTGGAGGTTCTGGACACACATAATTTTTGCCTCCCGTGGGGTTTATACCTAAAGAGCAGTGTCTGTCTCCTGTCTCTCTAGGCCTACAAGAACCGGGCCTCCTATTAGCTTGGCAATGATGAGTCTGGGATGCCCCTGAAGAACCTTCCCTTCCACACTAACCAGAAATGAGCTCAGGGACTGGGACCAAGGGGCCGGGAGACAAGAAGCCAATATGGCCAAAGTTCTGGTCTGGTCAGAACCCTGAGGCCCATCAGTGGCTCATCTTTAATTAGTGCTTCAGGCCTCTAGCGGGGGGCGTGGTGGTGGTGGTGGGGAATTCCAGGCTCAGACTCCTTGGAAGGTGAAGCTATATGCCTCTTCAAGCCCTGATTTTGGCTGGCTACCTCCCCAAATGCTAAGGACAGAGTGAGATCAGGTCAGCTGTAGCTCTGTGGAAGACAACTGGGAGTCGGAGGGGACTGGCCTGACTACAGGAGCCGCTGGGAGTTTATAATTCTACATTTTTTTTTTTAAAGGTTTTATTATTTATTTGACAGAGACACAGCGAGAGAGGGAACACAAGCAGGGGGAGTGGGAGAGGGAGAAGCAGGCTTCCCTCAGAGCAGGGAGCCCGATGTGGGGCTTGATCCCAGGACTCTGGGATCATGACCTGAGCCAAAGGCAGATGCCTAATGACTGAGCCACCCAGGCGCCCCTATAATTCTACATTTTAAAATGGATTGTACTGCTTTAAGGTCTGAGTTGAGCTTGCTTTGGCCCTAGATTTGGGATTTGTCACTTTGCAGATGGGAAGGTGGACTTGCAAAGGCCCTTAGCTGGGCCTTACCTTTTACTAGGGGAGACATGACGTGAGTCTTGGAAGAAAGCACTCAACGAGGGGCTCAAGCTAGAAACCCATGAGGGCATCCTTGTTTCCTCCCGTTCCCTGGACTTACAGTTTAGGCAAAACCTGCTCATTCTGCCTCTGGGAACGTATCCTGAACATATACCTACTTCCTCCTCTCTCCACCGCCACCACCCGGGTCCAGGCCAATGTCAGTCCTCCGCGGGGTCTCCAGGCGCCTCCCAACCAGCCTCTTTTTCGCTCACCCTTTCCTTTTCACGCAGCAGCAGACTGGGGGAAGGGGAACACACGTAACTTCTAGTTAAGATTCTTCAGATCGCCTTCAACCCAATGCAAAGGAAGACCGAGATTCCTACAAGGTGTACAGCCTACCTTTCCAACCTCCAGTCCCGTCCCCCTCCTCCGCTTCCTCACCCTGCTCCCAGCTGGGAGGCTCCTCCCGCCGCAGGACCTTTGCACACTTTGTGTCATTCTTGTGGCTTCTGATGCTCGCTCTCTGGAAAGAGCCTTTCTTGTCCCTCAACCTCAGGGAGGGCTTCTGGACCACCCTCTCAGGAGACGCCCTTGGTCAGTTATGCTGTCTCAGACCCTTTCTTTCCTTCAAAGAACTAATTATGATTTGTAATTGCTTTGTTTTCTTATTGTCGTCTGTCTCCCCATTCTCCTTGCATAGATTCCTTGCATAGAGACAAGCTGAGATCTGTCCTGCTATATCCCCAGTACCCAGCATCATCTCTGGGCACTGAGCAGATGTTCTCAAAAATTCTCTCTTCAACAGAAAAGCCTTTTTGGTGGTAGCATCTCCAGCAGTCAGAAACTCTATTTGCTTCTGAATTTCAATCCTCCGGCAGTGTTTCTGCTTATTAACAAGTAACTCTTCTCTGGGTATATGGCTGAGAGCAGAACAGGAGATCTCAGGCAGCCTGGCAACATGGGCCTGTGTGGGAATCACCTTCCAGTGGAATCGAGGCAAATGTCAACTCTAAACCTGAAGATGTCATTCTAGGCTTCCGTCCCGGCGCCCAGCTCTGCTGCCAGAGGCCTCAGGCTTTCCAGAGCTTCTCATGATACAAGGTGCAACTTGCCCTCCTCTACCCCTAACGCTCCAAGCCCCCCTCCAAGGCCCCACCAAGCCTGCGCCCTTACCTCCTGGTGGCGTTCAAGCTGAGGCCACGCCAGACGAAGGAGCCGACCCAGCGGGGGCATGGGGAAGCCTGGGGGAGCCTGGGAGGCTCGAGTGGTAAGAGGGGGGCAGGCTGGCAGAAAGCACCCAGGGCTGCTGGGCGCCTGCCAGCACGTGAGTAGGAAGAGGGCATGAGAGCACAGTTCTAAAGCAGCATTTACTTTGGTTTTCACTTCTCCAAGGCCCCGGGACCTTTTAAAAGTTCTAGCTATTACTCTTGTACGTGGTCGCCATCACTCCTCCTTCAGCCACTGCAACAGCTGAGGCGTGTAGTAGGTGATGATGATGTCAGCACCTGTGGGGGGACAGAAGCAGGAAGCGGGGAGGGGCCAGGCATCAGCTGGGGGCTAAACTTCGGGGAGACCGGGGCCAAGGAGGGGGCAGGCGGCTACCACGAAGAGACAAAGCCCGTGGGCGTCAGAACATATGACAGAGCCCAGCTCCGGTCAGTTCGAGCTCTGCGCGCTGTGTGACCCTGGGCAAGTCATTTTCTCTTGCTGGGCCTCAGTTTGCCGTTGTATGAAACGCACAGAGGGAGAAATGAGTACGTCATAAGGGCCCTTCCCATGCTGTGTGCACACCAACACCACCAGCTCCCATTTGTGGAGTGGTGAGCACATGCCAATGACACGCATCCCCTCCCGCAATGCTCCAGGCGACACGCCTCGGGTATTTTATCCCCGGTCTGCAGACAAGGTCACTGAGGTGCACAGAGGCGCCTCGGCTAAGGTCTCAACACCAAAAAGTAACAGACGGCTCTGCTTTCTTCACTGTCGCACGTTGGGTTCTGCAGCTCCACGGCCCCTCCTCACCCTGTCTCTCTCTAGATCACTGGTATCCCCAGGCCTAAGACTCCAGGCTGTCTCATGACTTTATTTTGTCCTCTGGGCAAAGTGCCCATCAGCCCCGTGGCACAGGTCAGGAAACCCCAGCGCCCCTGTTTACCTGCGCGGCGGAAGGCGGTCATGGCCTCCAGGACAGCAGCCTTGAGATCAAACGCCCCGGCCCGGGCTCCATGCCACAGCATGGCGAACTCTCCAGAAACATGGTACACGGCAAGTGGGAGCTCAGGGTGCTGTGGAAAAGCAGTGGAGGGTGGACAGGTGGAAGTGTGGAACCTCTGGGAGTGTCCCTTCCTGCCTGCCCAACCTGAGAGCATCTTGAGCCCCATGCCGTGTCCCTACTGTTGGCAGCCGGGCCCGTTCTTTTTTTTTCCTTAAAGATTTATTTATTTTAGAGCGGGGAGGGGCAGAGGGACAGGGAGAGAGAGAACCCCAAGCAGACTCCCCACTGAGCGCAGAGCCCAGTGCTCAACCCCACGACCTGAGCCAAAACCAAGAGTCAGACGCTCAACCAACTGAGCCCCCCAGGCGCCCCAGGCCGCCCCATTCTTGAACTGTGAAAGCACAGCAGCTCGAAGGCTCTGGCCAGCCCTGGGGCAGATGCCCATGGTGGTTCCTGGGCAGGGGCGCGGTGGCAGGATTCCTGCTCAGGGCCAGGTCGCTCTGAACTCATGGGGTCTGCAGTCTCTGAGCCTGAGATCCCAGAGTCTGCGGACAAACCCGCTCATCTCCCTGGGCCCCTGCCTGCTCACCTTGTCCTTCACCTCCCGCACGATGTCCAGGTAGGGCATGCCCGGCTTCACCATGAGCACATCGGCTCCTTCCCGTACGTCCCGGGCCTAAGGGACGAAATACTCCGTGGGGAGGGCCCAGGAGGCAAGGTGGGAGGGGGACCGGCCAGTGGGCTCAAGCTCTGGTCACTCACCACTGCTCGGAGGGCCAGGCCTCGGGCTCCCGGTGGCAGCTGGTAGCAGCGGCGGTCTCCAAAGGCTGGGCTGGACTGAGCCGCATCCCTGGGAAGCAGAGGCATCAGCGCGGGGTGGGGGGTGTCCAGCTTTGGGCGAACAGGTCAGGGAAAGCTCAAAAGCAGACCCCTGCCAATCCCCACTCACCGGAAAGGTCCGTAGAAACAGGACGCAAATTTGGCACTATAGCTCATCACTGATACCTATGGGAGACAAACAGGGGTCAAGGTCCAGGCAGCCCTTTTCAGACGTCCCAGGGTGAGGTGACAGGGAGAGGAAGGATGTAGGCTGGGAAGTGGAATGCCTGCGGTCTAGTCCCATTAAAGCTCTGGGCCTTGATTTCCCCATGTGAAGTACGGAGGTTGAGACGGATCTCAAAGGCCTCGTCCAGGGCTGTCTTCACTTCCAGGATTCTTAGCAGATACGGGGATAGGGCTGGTCCAGGCTTTCTCCGTACCTTCCCCACACCCCTCGCCACACTCCCCGCCCCTACCCTGTTGCCAAGTCCATGGGCCATCAGAGCCTCCTTGATGGCTTCCACACGTCCGTCCATCATGTCCGATGGGGCTACCACCTGACATCCTGAGGGGCAGAGGGTGGCCTTCAGAACTTTGGGATCCTCCTATCCACTCTGCCACCTCCCCGACCCGGAGCTGCTGGTGGCTCACTCACCTGCCTTGGCATAGGCCAGTGCCACTTCCGCCAGCCGCTGGCGGCTCTCCTCAGCCTGGAATGCCCCATTCTTGCTCAGGAGCCCTGCAGGACAGACAGCTGGGTTTGGGGGAGCACCTCGGTCCCTGGCCCAGCCCACCCGGAGGAGGACTAGGTGGAGGGAGTGCAGGTGGAGCAGGGCGGGTGAAGGGAGGGAGCTCACCACAGTGACCATGAGAGGTGTAGGGGCACAAGCAGACGTCACAGGCCACCAGGAGGCTGGGGAAGGTCTTGCGCAACAGGCGGATGGCCTCAACAGCTGGGGAGTCCTCGGAATCAGCTGCAGAACCCCGCTCATCCTAGTGGCAGGGGAAGGGCAAAGAGGTACGTCCGCAGGATGGCCAGACCTCACAGAGCCCAGCTCCCTGCATGAGGACACAGTAAGGACTGTCCCCATTTTGCACAGGGCACTTGACCTGCCCAGTCAGGGTGGCATGGCCCTATTTAGCTTCCTGTCCCTAGGCGGGTGCTATCATCAAGCAGGGGGCCATGTCCCCTTGCCCACGCCCCAGGGCCAGCACAAGGCCGTACTGAGGACACGGTCCATGTGGGAGCTCAGCTCACCCTCACCCGACCCTCCCTTGTCTTCCCCTCGAACTCTGCTTCTGATTCTCCACCTTGGGGACTCTGCTGGGGACTCCAAAGACCAGGACACAGCGCAGACCCTCTTCCACCAGGGGCTTCAGCATCTCTTCCAGCCGGTTCACACCATACCTGCGTGGAGGTGGGACAGAGGGGCTGAGATGAGGCAAGTGGCAGGCAAGGGTCCCCCCTCACCCCTCTGTGCTGCACACGGCACCAGGAGAGCTCAAGCCCCACAGTCCAGGGAGGGGTGGGAATGCGCCCACCAAACAGATGGGAAAACCAAGGCCCCCAGAAGCAGAGCTATGGAACTTAGCTGTGGAAGGTTCTTACTGAACTCCCATTTGCAGCTCAGCTCTCCTTTGCAATAGACTCTGCTATGATGTCTCTGGTGGGTGAATGGGCAGCTCATTCCTTTATGGGGCTGCCTCTTCTGTTCTCGAACAACTTTGGCCCCGAGAAAACCCTTTTCTCTACTGAGCTGAAGTGAGCTCCTCCAGATCTTCTACCTCCTGGGTCTGCTTCCTGGCACCTCCAGCTGGGAAATCTCTCCCGCCACCCTCCCCTGGCCCTCCCCACCACGTCTCCTACCTGGCTACTCCTGGGAGGCTGTCGATGGGCTGTACGTCATCAGGAACGTCCCTGCAAGAGCGGGGGGTGGGGGGTGGGCTATGGACTGGTAGCTGTGGGAAGGGCGGTGGTGAGGGAGTGACTGGGAGGGATGGCTGGGGAGATGGGAAGGAGTATGAAAGTGGGGATGGAGGGAGGAGGTTGGGGTCCAGTGTCTGGTTCCCTGCCTGGCCAAGCCCAGGGCCTGAAATAATAATAGGAACAGCGAGAGTGACAGTGACAACAGAAGCAACGGGACTAAAAGAACTAAAAGAACACTAAATCATACGAAGGAGTCAAGTGGCTACAAACTTGGGATTCTGAAGTCAGAAGGCCCTTGCCTGCGATCCCAGCCACTTACTGGCTGGGTGACCTGGGCCAAGTTGCACCATCTCTTTGAGCCTCAGGGCCCTTCATCTGTATTTGGGTGGATTCGTTCATTCATTCAACAAATGGTGAACGAATGGCCTTACTATGTGCCAGGTACTATTTACTCTCTGGAGATACAAAGTGAACAAAACAGACACAAATCCTTGCCCTCGTGGAGAGGACACTCTAGGGAACAATATCCACTCTTCCCTCATATGAAAACTGTCAGGACTGAAGGAGATAATCCATGTACGCTGCTTAGCACAGTACCTGGTACACAGTCAGCAGTCAATAAATGTCAGCCATTGCTATTAGGAATAATCATGGCTGCCACCTCTTACACATACACAGCTCTTTACAACCTACAGAACGAACGCCTTCCCCGCTTCTGTCTTACCGCAAGGATGGCGGGCCAGGGTTATTATTCTTATTTTCCGGATGGGAAGACTCAGTTCTTTCCTAGTTTGTTTGATTCCTAAGACGGTTGTCCTGAACCCACTCTCTCTCCCTCTCTCTTTCTCTCTCTCTCTCTCTCTCTCACACACACACACACACACACCAGCAGATCCGAGGCCTGGACCATTCCTGGGGACTCACGTGACAAAGATGGGATAGATGAGGTTGGAGGCGCTGAGGGGAGAGGCGGCTGCCTGCCAGGTGCGAAGCAGTGGGTGGAAGTAGCCACTGTGCAGAACCGACTGGGGCTGCATGGTGGGCAGTGTGGACTCCCGGGGCATCGGCTGTGCGCTCAGCTCTGGGGAGGGGGGGGACACAACAGGATGCACGTGAGACACGGTCCCTGTCCCCAGGGGATGGTCCCATACCCCCACGCTCTTCCCGATTCTTGCCTCCCCAGCTCTCTGGCCAGTGCTCCCCGTAGCACGGCTCGCCAATCCCTGCTGGTCTGTGACAAGGTAAGTGGAGGAAGGGAAGTGGGCCCTCTGGAAACTTCCCTAGCGATCAGAACCGAATAATCTAAGATTTCAGCTTGTATTTTCTATGGTGTCTCTCTTTTTCTAAAATGACATTTCTTGGGGCGCCTGGGTGGCTCAGTCAGTTGAGGGTCTGCCTTCGGCTCAGGTCATGATACCAGGGTCCTGGGATCGAGCCCCGCATCGGGCTCCCTGCTCAGTGGGAAGCCTGCTTCTCCCTCTCCCGCTCCCCCCGCTTGTGTTCCCTCTCTTGCTCTGTCAAATAAATAAATAAAATCAAAAAAATTAAAAATGACATTTCTCAGGGCGCCTGGGTGGCTCAGTCGGTTGAGAGTCTGCCTTCAGCTCAGGTCATGATCCCGGGGTCCTGGGATCAAGCCCTGCATCAGGCTCCCTGCTCAGTGGGAAGCCTGCTTCGCCCTCTCCCTCTGTCTGCCACTCCCCCTGCTTGTGCGCTCTCTCTCTCTCTCTGTCAAGTAAATAAATAAAATCTTAAAAAAAAATAAAATAAAATGACATTTCTCCAGCAATTCAATACAATTTTATTTTTTTTGTATTTTATTTAAAAAAAATCAATCTGTGATGGATTGGAAATTAGTATGAGAAGCACTGACCTAGCCAACATTTAAACTTTGTTTATTCCATGAAAAATGTGCAGGTGCTTGGCAGAAATTTTAGATAAGCAAGCAAGAGAAAAATCGCCTGTAATTCTACCTCTAGAGAAAAGCACTATTAACACCCTGGTACAGAGACTTCTCGTCAGGCACAACGCACACTAAGAGGATTAACTAGCAGGTGCCTGAGAAGACAGACAGACAGAACCCCTGCAGGGGGGCCATTGAAGCTTTCTTTTCCAGCCTGAGCGCCTCCTGCTGTTCCCCAAGCACCAGCCCCATTTGGCCGCTTTCTGGTTCTGCTCACCCTGCTCCCTTAACCTAAAAGGTCCTGCTCTCTGCACCACCTCCTCAGCCCCAACTCCTACCCGGTGCCCACCTTCCCTCTCCCGCTGAAGCTTCTCTTGCCCAGATCATAATCTCTCTTACATAACAGCTCTCTGTGGATCTATTTTAGCTCATTCCAGGAGACAGAGCTTCTGCAGGGCATGGTCCATGGTGAGCTCATTTCTGCACCGTCCCCCCCAGCACTCTGCCACAGGGTAAATATTTAACTACATGAAGTACAAGACAAGCGCTAAAAGACAGAAGGAAGCTGGGGCGTGCACATGTTTCTTGAGCACCTACTGCGTGCCAGGCCATGCCGGGCACCCGCACATGTGATTTCTCATCGAGGAGGCAATAAATTGTTTGGGCAGGTAGGGCTGATGGAGTGTGTCTCAGACAGGAGCTGCCCTAAGTGAACCATGAGCTCCAAGGCGAGTTTGGAGGTTGGAAGAAGCTTGTTGGAAGAAGACGGGGGCTTCAACTTGGTTTTTCGGGATGAGTGGGTTCGGCTTGGCAGAGGGAAAGGGGAGAATGTTCCCTCAGGAAGGGAAGAAAGGGGCAAAGGTGTGGAAGGAGGAATGCCCGTGGGCTGCTGGGAGGACTGAGGACGCAACAGAAGACGTGTGTACCAGGGAGGGGACAAGAGAAGGCCAGACTGAGGACAGGGAAGATGAGGAGGGGGGTGGGGGAGTGGCCTGCTCAGAGCCTGGCTTCAGGAGGCTAATTCTTGCAAGAGGGGCAGAGTTGACTGAGCAAAGGAGCGCAGACACTCCAGTGGGGAGTGGGGAGGGGAGGAGAGGGAAGGGCCATCGTAAGGCAGCCAAGAGGCAGTCTCTTGGGGCAGATGCTCTGAGCTTGTGTGACCCAGAGGGCAATGGAGACAGGGACAAGGCAGGAAGAGGGTGGTTGGGAGCTGAGCTTTTGGAGGTGCCTGGGGAAATACCCAGTAGCCAAGGAGGGGGGTAAAGGAGCCACCCATGTCTCCTTGTATGAATGGGACCTCAAGGCAAGGACTTATTCAAGGTTACACTTAGTGAGGTAAGAGGCTAAAACAGGCCTATAAGCCCGAGTGTCATCTCCCAGGTGGTGAGTGGGGAGTGGGGGTCCCCTAGTACACTGATCATGCATTTTATCTCCAGTCTCTCAGGTCCCTTTAGCTCCCTCCCAACCAGCTCAGGGGCCCATTTTTATCCAATACTCCTCCTTGGCAGGGTTGGGGTTATCAGGAGCCACAGAGGGACCCACCCTACCACCACACCCCCTCCAGCAAGCCACATCATCTGACACAGAGGCAAGTCAGGCCTCCCCAAAGATGTCCCAACCCCCAGATGAGCAATCAGTCAGATGGCAGATAGAAGGTCCCGAGTGCCCATTTTGTGCAAGATTGGCTGTCAGGTCTGCTACGGGTTAGCTCAGCTCAGAGAGGTTAAGTCTTTTGCCCAAGACCACACAGTTGGTTAGTAAATGAGCCAGAATTTGAATCTGTTCTAGACAATGAGTACAGGGTTTTATCTACCATACCCCATAGTCCTGATGAACACTTGATTCCTCAAGCATCTCTCTGGCTATACTATCTGCCTGGTGAGTCAGAGAGATGGAGGATACACAAGAGAAAAATATACTGAGCGTATGTTATGTGCTGGGCACTGGACTAGGTATTTCATTTCACTGCAGAGACTATTCCAACCTTCACTAATAAGGAAACTAGGAGGCTCTGAGAGGTTAAGTGACTTGCTCCATGTCATTCTGGAGAGTCAAGTTGTTTTTTGAACACGCCTCTGATTCACTTCCCAGAGAACAACCTTTGTAGCAGGACTCTGGCTTCTGGAATCCAAAGCTGCATTCTACTGGCCTCAACTCCCCATCTGTTTTAGAAGGCTGGGCAAGCACATGCCTTCTGCCGATCAGAAGCAGCAGAGCAGGGCTGCTCAGGAGCTTTGCAGCCCCAATTGTACCATGAGGAGGTG